CCAGAGAAGGGGCAATGGGTATATTGGTGTGGACATGTCCAGAGGAGGAACAGTGGGTATATTGGTTTGGACATGTCCAGAGGAGGGACAGTGGGTATATTGGTTTGGACATGTCCAGAGGAGGGACAGTGGGTATATTAGTTTGGACATGTCCAGAGGAGGGACAGTGGGTATATTAGTTTGGACGTATTGGTTGAAGGCTGTTAGAGGTGCAATTGGAGGACATAGAGGTAGTTGTAGTGAAGACAGATGGAGGACGTCTTGCTTTGGACACCCCTATAGAAGGATGTCTTTTTCTTTATATTGACTGTAATAAATTAAGTCAGATCAGTTTGGTTTCAGGCTTTTATTTTGAAACTCTAAAAACAGAACCTCAGTATTTGTGTCTCTCCTTCCAGAAGGCAAAGTAAATCAGGTATTCGTGGTGTTGGAGGGCAGGCAGACACTTTAGTCATTCTGCTCTGACATTTAGACAGATTTTTCCTGCTCTCCGGCCAAGGATTAGGGCTGTAAACCTATCCAAGAAACCATATGTGCAATGTTCGAACAACTACTGTGATAACATTTATCTTTAGAATTAACACTCTTTCATTTCCACTGTGTCGGCACATTTCACCAGGAGGAGGAGGACTTTTATTTTGCCTTCCCGAAACTCAAGCTGTCAAAATTTCGCCTCTCCTTCACCCCTGACTCTGCCCCAACCCCGTGCCTTGAAATAACTCTCGGGCCCGAGCCTGGCTTGGGTTTCTCTCCCCACAGCCCGAGGAGGGGAGGCCGGCGGTTTTGCGGACTGAGCGTCCCTCTGCGGCGCGATACGAGGAGGAAGATGAGGAATCCAGATCCCCCCCACCACCCGACCCGTTCCTGCCCCGTCACCGTCGAGGTTCGTTCGCCTGCCTCGCGCCGGCTGCGGGTGTGTGGCCACCTCAAAGCATTTTTTCCACGCCTGCCTGTCTTCGCCTCGTCGGACTCGTACCGCCGAGCGTTAATCTTCCCGCACGGCGTGAGGGTCAGACACAAGTCATTTTCCTCAACTCCATTTAACTCTGGAAAAGCACTTTCAGCTGAACGTCAATAAAGATCTAGACTTTACCAATAACTCACTCAGACTTTATTCAGACTTCAGTCTTTAAATAAAGAAAAATGATGATTTAAAGCTGATTATGATTCTTATTGGTCAGTGTAATGATTTAGATTAAAAATTAATGATTCAGTTACATCAGGGCAAAACAAAAACTTTGATCCTTATTGTCATCATACACCTGATAAAGATCCATATGCCAATCGCAGACTTGTGAAGTGAATTTAATGGAAACTGTTTCATTTTCGTATCTTTGTGATATCGATAAACGTTGTATGATCATCCAATTAATTTCATATATCATGATTTACATCCGGGTCAGGGGAGAGTCTCTGCCTCAATTGAAGGAGTTTAARTATCTGGGTGTCTTGTTCACGAGTGATGGTAGGATGGAGCGGGAGATGGATCGACGGATTGGGGCCTCGTCAGCAATGAGGGCATTGCTTCGGTCAGTCGTGATGAAGAAAGAGCTGAATCTAAAGGCAAAGCTCTGGATTTACTGGTCTGTCTTCATTTCAACCCTCACCTATGGTCATGAGGCGTGGATCATGACCAAAAGAACGAGATCCTGGATACAAGTGGCCGAAATGAGCTTCCTTCGTGGGTGGCCGGGCTCAGCCTTAGAGTTTGGAGTAGAGCCGCTTCTCCTCCACATTGAAAAGAATCAGATGAGGTGGTTTGGACATCTGGTTAGGATGCCTCCTGGACGCCTCCCTTTAGAGGCGTTCTGGGCACGTCCCACTGACAGGAGGCCCCGGGGAAGACCCAGGACTGACTGAAGGGATTATGTATCCGCTCTGGCCTGGGAACACCTCAGGACGAGCTGGAAAGTGTCGCTGGGGAGAGGGATGTCTGGGTTTCTCTCCTGGACCTGTTGCCTCCGCGACCCGACTACGGATAAGCGGAAGAAGATGGAGATTTACATCCCCTAATTCTTACAATGATCGACTTCCTGTCTAAAGCCATGTTTCCATCTAATTTTAACGCGCATATTGAGCAAACTTTTAAAATGTCGCAAAAAAAGAAATGTGCATCAAACATGTTTCCATCAACCGACTTGGAGTGAATCAACCAGGCTACACAAAGTAGTTCTGTCAGACGTTGATGTTACACATGGCTGAAGTAAACAGGAAGTAACCTCGCAGGGACACACATCTCAGGATAATGGAGAGAAGTTATCAGTAACGTATTGCTGTACATCACTACATTGCGATGATAGTGCTCAAACGATATATTGTGCAGCTCTAATTGGGAGGGACACTGTTCTTAAGACCCTGGAAAGACCTTCCAGGTTACGGCAGGTCATCACTGAGTGTGAAGAGCTAACTGAATTTTAAAAGCAATAGTATTTGAGGTAGCTTCTCTGAAAAGTGACGTGGTTGGTAGAACCATTGCCTTTCCAGGTACTCCGGTTTCTTGTTTGTCTCTGTGTCCCTGTAATGGACACAGATTGTCCACCTCTCCACCCAGAAAAGAAAACGGGTGTAAATTTTGTGGATGGATGAATTTTTAAAACATAATACTAACCGTTATCAACGGTAACCATTTAAACCAATTACAAATGTATCTGTAGGTCACTTGGTGATGGACCTGAACCACATGCTGCGTCCGGCCAAGTCTCCGGAGAAGTGTACCCTGCAGCTCCTGGACCAGCCGGCGGACAAACTGGTGTCTCTGTTTGAGCAGAAGACGGTGAAGGGTTGGTGGCCCTGCACCTGCGAGATGAACGGAGAAAAGAGCATTGCCGTAAGAACACAAACGCACACACGACGAATTTTAAAATTTCAAAATGGCGGTCAGATTTTAGCGGGAAGAGTTGTAAGTGTGTCGTTGATTGTTCGTTTCAGGGGAAAGTGGAGATGTCTCTAGAGATCGTGACGGAGCAGGAGCAAGAGGAGAGACCAGCCGGTCTCGGCAGAGACGAGCCCAACATGAATCCTCACCTGGAGGAGCCTCAGTGAGTCACACAACACAAAACAACACAACACAAAACTAAAACAACACAAAACAAAAGCTATCTCTCCTCCTCTTCCTCCCTCACTAGGCGCCCAGAGACCTCCTTCCTGTGGTTCTCCTCTCCGTTCAAAACCCTCCGGTTCATCGTGTGGCGGCGGTTCAAGTGGCTCATCATCCTCTTCATCGTCCTCTTCTTCATCGTCCTCTTCCTCGGCGTCTTCCTCTACTCCTTCCCGGTGAGTTCGACGGAATCCAACACTAAGTGAAAAAAATAGCGAAATTTTCAAAAACACACTTTGTTTGTGAACCTCGACAGCGGTCTTTTAAAAGGCAGGCAGAAACGGACTAAAAAGTAAGCCTCAAACAAACGGCCACTGTTTGAAAACGGAAAGTCGTAGCTTAAAAATTATTTTGCTGCAATGTTTGGACTTGTTTTCAAATTTTGTCTGTCATGTAAAATGTACCTCCACCAAACGCCACGGCACGGTAATCCTGATCGAGCCACACGTTTTAAGCTTTAATTCGATTTTTTTTTCTTAAAGCTGTCAGATGTATAATGGATAAAAACGATGATAGAAATGAGATTTAAATTGTTAAAGTTACATAAAGAGAAAGTGTGGGAAAATCTATTAAATATTTTAAAAAGAGAAAATAACCTGCTTTTGTTTGTTTTACAGAATTATGCTGCCATGAAGATGGTTGGACCATTTGGACCGGCCAAGTCTAAAGAGTGAAGAAGAAAAACTACAAAAAAAGGGACAATTCTTTTTTTTTTTTTTTTTTTTTTTTTTTTTTTTT